ATGCTGTATGCAATGGCACCAACTCCCCTCCCCTTTGTACGCATGGTGTATGCAATGGCACCAACTCCCCTCCCCTTTGTACGCATGGTGTATGCAATGGCACCAACTCCCCTCCCCTTTGTACGCATGGTATATGCAATGGCACCAACCCCCTCCCTCCTTTGTGCGTTCATACCGGTACATTATGGACGGCCCCTTTATAAAAACTGTGGTGTCTCAAACTAATCTAACGCGAGCTTGTCAGCAATGGATGACTACATGTATAGGACTAAAGCCTGGGCACTATGACACCGGTATCATGGCAGTTCCTCCAGAGATACTGTGTACAGGTATGCAGACTCGACCTACATTGTATTTCACCAACCACTCAATGTGTGCCATAACCAAGTAACTGTGTATACACAGCACAAAGTGACTGAAGACTCAATATACATTTATGTTTGGTTTCATGTACGACCTTATTTACCTTGATCAAAAATTATCTGTCCCCACTCTGAAGCAGGACAGGAATTTTTCAAATCTCTATATACAAATGTATGTACCGTACATGTATGTCAAGGACATTTAAATACACAAAAAATTGTAAGTTTGAGAAGAAAGATAACAAGCCATCTACATGTATACCAACTGTTGATTACAACAAGAGTGGAAATAATTAAGCAGATGCTTGACAGAAAGTTGACAAATTTAGTTCCCTGAAAAATGGGCTCCACACCAGAAATGCTACCCTTCCAAATAAGTTGCTGACTGCTTCATATGCAGTCTATAAATACTGCCCCTCCCTCAGTTGAGAGAGCTTGGTCTATTTCCACAATGGACCATTCACCTTATCCTTGCAGTCAACGTGGACCTTGCCTCCATCTAGTGTTCTCCTGAGCAGCGACAGGTTGCCCTGAAGGGCTGCTAGATGGAGCTGCTGGTCTGACTTGCTCTCCTTCTGTGGAAAGAGTGAAGAGAAAAAAAAAGCTTCCAACAGTCATTTGGAAGTGAATTCAAATTCCTTGGGCGGGTACCTCAAACATGCATCTTTTCTGGCATCTCATGAGATGAACCTGCTGTCAAGCAAATTCAGGATCGCTCCACATAACAGAATATAGGGTTGTTTGAAAGCTTTACTGTACACATGCTACATCAGACAAATCCAACAGAGCCCAACATCACAGTGTATAGCCAGCTGCAACTAACAGAGCTTAGCAATAGCAGAGGGAATATGTCTGTCAGATCTGACAGAAACACACAATATTATTGGTGTACATGTACATGTAGTAGGGTTGGATATCATATGTCAGCACGACTGCTTAAAGAATATGTATTTTTGTGCATCATGTTATACATGTACATGTATGATGGATACAATATATTTTGATGGATTTCCCATGTTCTTTCAAAATAGGGAATGATCAAATCCGATAAATTATGTACTACCCTTTACACTATTTTGAAATGGTTCTTTAAACTCATATTCTGCATGTTAATGTCCATGTTGCTCTACATAAAAACAGGACACATTTATGTACACGTGTGCATTAACCTTGCACACTACATGTACATGTACATGTGTATGTATAATTATGTCCACGTATGTACATGTACACATGTACATTGTAGCTTTCTGTGACAATGATTACAGTAATTTCGTGGATCAGTATACACATGTATATAGAAAGTAATGTCAATACATGTATCTGACAAAATGATACAAAAGTTCCTTTACAAGCTGAAATTAATTTAAAGAAAATTTACTGCATGTAGTTTGTTTAAAAAACAAAAAAGAAATTTCAAAATTAATTCAATTCACAAAAACACCAACGACTGCTAAAATAATGACAAGTATTAATTAGTTTAAGATTGTAAACAGGAAATAAAAGATGTGGTTGAATCTAAGTTATACCTTTCTATAATTTTATCATTCAAAAAAAATTTAATAATCTCCACCAACACCCAAACACACCCCTACCTTCCCCCTTTTATCTTTCCACCCACGTACATGTATATGGACCCATTCCAAGATAAAAAGTCAGAATACACTTGTTTCATCTATGGGACTAGGACTGATTCAATTTGAACTATTCGTTTTTCGAATATTTGACCTTCAATTTGATGGAATATCCGACTCCAGTCATAACGACCAGACTCATATTGTTGATGAACAATCAATTTATACAAAATCACTTGCAATAATGCACACAATTGTACATTATAATCTCTATAATAGCTTCTCACGTCTAGAACTACCGGTACATGCATCTCCAGTCTCAATTTAGTAAGATTTATAAGAGAACAATACTTCTTGTCCTTAAAAATTTTGTAATGAATAATTTACCATTTGAATCACTGTAAGATTCTTGCCACTTTTCATTTGAATCTGCTTGAAACAAGCCTTCACGGGACTATTTTGCTCATTTAAAGCAAATGAAAATTCTCCCTTCGTTTTCATGAATTTTGCTTTCGAATAGTTGACTTCAGAAAATAATATGTGAATATCAGGATATTCAGCACAGCCCTATAGTATATGGGACACACATGTACAAGTACATGTACTGCATCAGTTCCTTTCCCACAATGATCATGATGGACTCCACACTATTAAATTGCTCATAATATGAACTACTCTTATCAGCATCATTCCCCTTTGAGAGATTATGCATGCCTGGAGTCATGCCTGGAATGCAGACCGACTGTCTCAGGTTTCACTGTCAGAGGACATGTACATGAAAATAGTACCTGCCATATCATGGTGGTAGAAATGTAGTACATGTACATGTACATGTATGTACACAGGGCTGCTAACAGCACTGCAAAAAGAACACATGTACGTGTACAGTGTATGTACATGTACACTGTACATGTACTTCACTTAAAATTTAGCAAACATGGGATTTCAAGTTTCCAATGTGTACGCAAATACAAACTTAAAACCTGAACACAGTTGAACAGTCTTGACTTGCATTTTATGGTTCTTGCTGCCTGACTCCCAACTTCCCAAATCATGGAGCTACACAGAAACTTTCACTTTGGGTCAATGTACTTTGGGTGGCCATCAGGGCAAAAAAAACACCTAAAAAAATAAACACATTTACGCTTCATAAGAAAAATAATAAAAATAAAAAATAAACAAATAAAGCATTAAAATAAATAAATAAACAATAAATAAGTTATCTCCACTAGTTCTTTTATACTAAAAAAAGAGATACATGTATATCCATGGTGCTACCGCAAACTTATATAGTTTAAATCAGGGCCTATCTAAAATAAATTTAAACAAATCAAAACAAAAAATGAAAGATATGTATAATAAATTAAATATTAACTGATATTTCTAAATAGAAAAAAAATGACTCTTTGGAAACCAATTAGTACACTGCATACATGTAAAAGATAAAAGAAACAAACTACTGAGCAAAAAACCCAGGAGGAAAAAAACACAGCCTGCTTAACAACAAGTATTCTCGTCAACTAAAATTTAAAAAAGACCTTGTTAAATTTTTTGAAAATGAAAAAGAATATACATGTAAGATCAAAAAATTCTTCAATACAAGAAATTGTTAAATTTCCTGTTAACCTACAAATCCCTCCATGATTACACACTTGTCTGACCTTATTTCTCCTACCTATCAGACCCATCCGCTTCGCTTCTCAAAACCTTCTGCACTTTAAGAGAACCAAAACGAGCGCTTCTGATGACAAAGTCTTTTCTAGTAGTGCTCCATCCTTATGGAATTCTCTTCAGGTCTCTTTGCATTCTGAACCCTGTTCTGACACCTTTAAGTTGTCTTTTAAAGCTTACATGTACTTTTTTGAAATTATCTTGACTTTTCTAGTTTGGGTTGCTTATATGTTTTTCTACTGTGATTAATTTATTTGGAGGGAATTCCAGTCGGAGTTTTCCTCATTGGTTAGGTTTCTTTTTTGGTTGTTGATTTTTCTTGTACATGTAGTACAAGTACAGGCAGACGAACTTGTCAGCAAGAACTAATAATTCACATCAATACAACTGGAGCCACTCTTGTGCATAATGTCCATTCCAGATGCCAGACCTCAGTCCAGTGGGCGTGGGAAAGTGATCGATACTGCATGTGTACATTACAAAATTGATGTGTGAGGAAGGTCTGTTGTACATGTAAATGGTATTTTTTCCAGCCAAGTTTTAAAGTTTGCATAACTGTTGCCATTCAGCCAAGCAGTTTACAAGATTGTTTACTTTGGAAAAACTGTTTCTATTTCAATCAATTCTGATCCAAATTTTTCCTTTGCAGAAATGGCAAACGTGCCACTGATTGAACTACACTGAAGGTGCTAATACAATAAAATGTACATGTACAGTCAAAAGTAGAGGCCTGCCCTACAAGGGGAGTTATCCCCCAAGCAAAGGCATATTGCCATTTAATTTTTTTTACAGAATACATAACGCTTATTTACTTACGTGTGTCCAAACGGCCAAAAGTCATCGTAAACAATTTGCTGTTATGGTCCCAATACAAACGGCATATTTTTGTTCAGCCCCACGTTTAGCTATTAAACATGGAGCTAAAGGTAGTAGTAGGGCCTAGTAGTACTAGTAGGCCTACTGGGACAGGCTTAACAGAAAAGTGATAGGCATACATGTACCTACATGTACATGTATATATCTTATATGTTTTACAAGTGCGACAGTGAACATGTAACAGTTTGCAATGCGCATACATTGTCAGGATCGTCATAGCCCTAAGGGGCTGTCCATAAAGTACTGTACTTCCATGTACGCACGAAATGCCAGACCCCTCCCTCGCCCCGTACGCATGGCATGACGCAGTGGCTCCAACCTCCCTCCCCCTGGGACTGAGTCAATTCAAATAATTCACCATTCGAATATCCGACCTTCAATTTAATCGAATATTTGGTCGTACTAATCGGCGGATTGTTGATGAACAATCCATATTCAGCTGCAGTAACACACGATTGTATGTTTTAATTAATATTATAGCTTCTCACAAGGAGTATTTCCAGCCACGATTAACCAAGATTTAGAAGATGAACAATTGGAATATTTTTTGCCCCGTTAAAAATTTCTATTCCTTTTAATTGTTTAATGAACAATTTACTTTTGAATTGTGAGATTTCTGTCCCTTTTCATTTGAATAGATCTGCTTGAAGCAAGCCTCTATAGTGCGATTTTTCTCATTGAAAACAAGAGAAAATTTTCCCTACAGTTTTGCATTCGAATATTTAAATTCGGAAAGTAGTATTTTAATATTCAATAGACAATCAAATATTCAGATATTTGGCACAGTCCTAACCCCCCCTCGCATACGCATTCCACAATTCCAGAAGACAATGCTGGTCTTCAGGTCTTTGTGTCGTAATGTTGCAGTTCACTATGGGCGATAAATGGTAAAATGGACGATGGAAGATACTGTGTTTGAATTTCGACACACAAAAGCTGATTCTTACTTATTTGCATGATAAAGTGTATTGATATGATGAAGATTCATTTACAGGCCAATTTTCAGTCTGCGTATCGAACGTGCTTGCTTTAACCCCCCTCTCTAGCTCTATATGCATGGTGTACCCAACGGCACCAACCCCCCTCTCTTGCATACATGTACATACAAATGATCATGGACGGCCCCTAACTTGTATTTGTGTGAGGCCTAGGCGCTAGGTTTGTCAATGTTACATGTATGACGTACATGTAGGCCTACATGTACTGTACATACAACACATGTAGCCTAGTGTTGTACAACGCTCAACTGTCAATTTATTGTCAATAATTATTGAGATTGCTCTACATGCTCCACTAGGATTCATTTCCATTTCCTTAAAACAATATTTGCTACTTGCCTTAGCTGACATCTCCAGATGCCCGACAACTACCTCACCAATTCCAGAGCCAGGATAGGTCCAGTCTTAAGCAAAATGAAGGTATCAACACCTATCAAACTCAACGATCAAAGTTTGCCAAAATATCTCGAGCGCAGTTCCTCAGTCTAGACTCGCTACAAGTATTCCAGGTAGCAGTGGACGCAGCAATGCGTGAAGATAACTACTCCTGCACAAGGCGGAATAGGGAAGGGCTGCGTAGCATGCACGCGGAGTTGGATCGAAAAGTGCGAACTAGCAAGTCTATGTCGCTTCCCATAATGCATCGTCCAACATGGCTGCTGAAGTCCACATTGCTTTTTCCTCCTGGACACATTTCAGCATAGCTCGTTTGTTAGGTATTTTTCTGCAGCGTGCATGGTCATAACATACTGACCAAGATGTCAAGACATAGGAACGTCAGGGGGATGGACTATGGGGAGGGTAGGTTTCATGTAGTTCACTGTTTGAGTACAGGCGCCGGCACCCATCATGCGCATGGAGACATGCACTACTGCTCTGCCACCGTGGCCATGCGCCAGAGGCCACAGTCTGGGTCGTACTTATCAGAGTCAACACACCGTCAACACATTGTAGTAACGTCAACACTTACAAAATGCATTGAAAACAGAAGTATCAAACTGTAATGTATACGCTTAGGAATAATTTCCATTTAATTGAGTTTACATTTTACTATACATGTATTTCAAGGGAGTTTTTTCATGCGAAAAAATAGTCTCTGAGCAGCGCCACCATTTACCACCATCTTGCCTTCTCGCGGCGTTTGGACCGTACTATGGTTTACGGTATAAAGGTGACCCCTATAGCGTAATGGTATTATCCGTCTGACCGAGAGGCAACATGGCTTTCGTCTTTCGTGGCTGTGCGGTGTGTTAACAGCCATTTCCCCCAAATGTCAGCAACTGTTGTTAGCAAAATTGTATTTTAGGCATTATATTGCTATCGAATTGCATTTCTGTTAACTTGGAACGTGATTTGGGTGTGTTGACGTTACTATCATGTGTTGACGCGTGTTGATGTTGCATTGACGTTGTTTTGAAGTTTATTAGTGTGACCGCACGGTCTCCATGAAATATGCAGAGCCTAGGCTCTAGCCTAAAATGTTGTGCTTTGCAATACCATGAAATTAGATCCAGTGCAGCTATGCAATGACTGCGGAATTCACACTTTATTGCTGAATCAGCTGCGTTGTTTACGTAGGATACTGGACTAAACTCTGTCTTGCATGTCTTGAGGACTGTCTGACACTAAGGTGACAGTGACACATGTTCACCCAGCACTGTCTGTGACTGTGTCAGGGTTCCAGCTACATGTACCATTCGCCATTCTCGCCAATTGGCGAATAATTGTAGTTTTGGCTATTATTCCATTGACCTGGCAAGAAAGATTGGCGATTATGTTGCAAATCTAGACAAATACCTCTTGTCACCGAAATGTCATTTTTTAATTTCGAACCTTCTCGAACAATTCCACTGACGCTCGCTGTCGCAGTGGTGAAAACACTTGCGCAAAGCTCAGTGCATTAAATGAAGCTGCTATGGTTCCCGCCGCACACAAGCAACTGCGTGTGATGGAAATGTAGCAACCAGAGCCAGTCTATACATGTACCGTACATTCCAGTCGATTATACTACATCAGCCGTACATGCATATCACATGCAAGAGGTTTTCCTCAAGTTAATTCACAGAACTTGGTCTCTTATTTATGTGTGTATTTTCTGTGTTCATGAGTTTTACTTGAGGTTGTTTTGCTCATACTTGGCCTATAAAAATTAAACATTGTGTATGGGATAATTGGTTGGAGGTACATGTATGTGAACCAAAGGTTTTTCTACGTTTGTAACATCTTTCACAATATGATTTACACAGATTATGAAGGCTACGATGATGTTTATGGACACTCAGTGGAGGATGATTATGGTGTGTCTCCATCAACAGGTATAGCATCATTTGTGAATGAAGGACAATGTGCTAGATTTATACAAGGCCTTTACACTACAGCCCAACCTCCCAGTTGTCCTGGCTATTACGTCCTGCTTATAACAGGTGCATACAATTACGGTATCAAAGTTAGAGTGCAATGACTGCTTTGTGTAGGCCATCTGAAAACCATAGCTTCAGTCTCTGAGGCTGCCAACCACCGCCTTAAGTGACAGGATCGAGCCGTGATATTGTTCAAAGGAATCGCTGCTTGCATTTCGGAACTGGCACCTACACTGTTGCTACTGGTCAGTACATGTACGTGTAGGTCGCTCAGATCAATTACATCTGTTGTTCATTGTTGCGTCTGATAGCATTGCAGCTTCCGGAGCATTTGAAAAGAAAAAAGCTTGTAGCACCACTCCGACAATTCTGTCTTGAACATTTTGAAGATGCCATATCACATGCAGTAATTAAGTTATCCTGCATTTAGTTCTCAGAGCAATTCATTGTTTATATCAGTAAAAAATTAACCTATCTAGGGATTTCTCTTCAAGGTTGTCCTGGATTAAAACAGAGACGGGTGCTTAGAGCTACATGTAGCGTATAAAAAACACCATCAATTTCTGTCTTCCCACAGCGGAGCAGTTCATTTACCACCGTAGCCTTCAGCATCACCGGCTGGCATCCTTTCTGGAGGAAGGGGAAGATGACTTAAAGAAAGAGGAGGAAGATAGTCGGGCGAGGCGAGACTCGGAACGATCCCTTGGAGATTCCGCCAACTACCAGCGACCCCAACTCTCAGATATTGAAGAGGGTCAGATGAGTCAGATTTCTTCCTACCCCCCCATAAAAGAATATTTTGGCATCCAGTATTGAGTTGCTAAATACATGGAAATAATAAGGAGGGGAAATAACAGAAATACCCTCCTCTTAACAGCTATTACACCACCCCCTGTCCCTTTCCTGTTCCTCTTAACGTAGATCCTGAAAGCTGTTGGGTTTGATATTTCTCTCTCTCTTTACTTGTGTTTTTCCCCACTCTTCTACCGTAAATTCAGCTCAGCTGCAGTCCTGCCTAGAGGAGATCCGCAATGTGGTTGGGGAGACCGTCCCCGAACGGACCCTGATTGAGATGGCTGTGGCACACAGCTTCAACTTCGAGAAAGCGCTCAATGCCATCCTGGACCAGCAGGAGAGCGGTGCCGGGAACAACAACAACTCGCAAGCACAGGGAGGTGAGTTACCATCCAGACTTACCTTATAGAGAAATATAGGCAGCGTCCAAATATCTGGCACTGGCTATGCATTTTCAACTTTTCATGAAAAAGACCATGCCTGAGCTTGGGAAAGGATGAAAGTGAAGTTAATAAGTGTCAGGCAGTTACAATAACAAGGGCAGATCCCTGGCCACATTTAAGAAGGGGGACTTTTCAGGGGGGCTACATATTTAGAATTTTTTGGTAACCTTTAGCCCTCCAGTCTACTTAGGTTAAAAACCCTGCCTGATGCATCAAATTGCATCATTTGTCAAAGTGGCTCGCCTGCCCTGTGTAATAAGATCCAACAGGCCAACTTTTCCCAAGGCCAAACAGCCTGGGCGTCTGTGGTTGCGATCTGCATGTACCACAAGATACAATAGTGGCATTGTTCAATGGGACTGGTTCCCGTTGTCTCAACATGGCCAGTTTGTTTGGCTGCTCTTGATTGCCCAGTGCATCAGACTTTTCACTTGATGCCCTGTGCTGCCTTTGGCAGAGTTAGGATTTGTAGGCTTTTTCGGAAATGAGGCTAGACTTGTTTTTATGTGCTTTGGGGAAGCAGAGATGAAGTCCCCCCCCAAAAAAAGAAATTGCCTTTCTTGCATTTGACAAAATTTTGGCTCTTGTTTTGTTTGTTTGATGTTTTGAGAGTTTCTGGAGAATTGGATGGTTGGTTGCAGTAATGCCCATATACACGTAACCTTATTTTTGTCGAATTGTAATTTTTTAATTTGGGGGATTTTGAGTAAAAGTGCATATATCCGTATTTTAAAAAGTGCCTATTTCACAGTAGTTCCTGCATGCCTTCATTATTCACCTAATAGAATGCCCCTGTCTGTTTTTCTTCCTCTTCTCGAACCTTTCTCCTCGATGACTCTGTTCCTCACCTGTTATCTGCACCTGGTACCCCAACAAACCTCTCCCATCATGCATTGCTTGGCATCTTTTGGCTATGGTAAGGTAAGGAGTCAGTGATTTTACCATAGGGAAGTGCAATGTAGTACAGAGAACTGCTGACAAAAAGCCGTCAACCAAAACAAAAGATTTATTAGTAAACAGAAAGGGTCAGGCATCAATACAGAAAAACCAAGTTGGTTCTCCGAGTTCCCTTTCAGACCTCATTAAATCCAACGCGATCCCTTACAAACAGGTGTCGTCCAATGTATCAAAAGTTCCGCTTGCAGATCTCATGAAGGCCAGTCATTCCACAAAATGTTTTTCCTCTTTGGCCCCATCAAGGCCAAGTGCAATTAACCCACAGATTTCATCGTTACCCCTCTCTGCCTTAGCCAGTTCCCATCTTGCATCATCCTCGAAAGAAAATAGTAAAGCTCAAGGTCAGGGTTCATCATCACTGTCTGATCTCGCCACGTTGCACTTGGGTACAAATAAGGGACCCCTGGCTGGCGGAAGTGGGTCCGCGTTCTCATTGTCTGACTTGTCACAGCATTCCACCTTGGTAACTCCACCAAGGATGCTCCCAACTAAAGAAAGCCAACAACTGGGAGCTGGTGGCTTGAAGCCGGGAGCTGGAATCTCTCTGTCAAGCTTAGCCTCTTCCCATCTCTCCACAAAATCATCCAAAATTCAGTCCATGCCCTCCCAAAGAACAAGTACCATCAGCTCCTCAAATGTCCCTCCGTCCGGAATGGAAATTGGCCAAGGTGCCCAGAGGCCCGGTGCAGGGACTGGATCGTCTTTGTTCAGCCTAGCAACTGCCCACCTCTCTTCAAGTGCACATAGGGTGCAAGCTGCAGTCAAATGTCCCTCCATTGGGCAAACTCCCCCGACAAGGCCCCACGGCATGGCTGGACTATCTCTCTCTAATTTGGCCATGGCCCACCAGTCATCTACCCTTGCGTTACCCCCTGCAGCCATGAAGCCAGCTGGTGCTTCCCTAGAAAGACTGGCAAAGACCCACCTGTCTCAAGATCTCAGTGCAAAGTCTACTCTTATGTCCCTAAACACTAAGCCCGCTACTGTTGACTCACACAACCCGTTGCCAGATGCAGAGCCAGTAAAAGGCAGTTGGTCCACTTTGAAAAACATTCCAGGTGAATTGATGGTAGAGAAAGCTGCCAAGATGTCTGCTCACTCACATTCCACAGTCATTCCCACTGAGGAGTCTGAAATACAGCTGCACAAAGCTACCTCAAGTACGGGACCAGCCTCCCCACCGGGATTCCAACCTGTGTCTGCGAAATCACCTCCAGGTTTCGGGTCTGTGACTTCAGAAGAAACTGAAGGAAGTGAATTAAAGAAGAGGGTACCAACACCCCCTGGTTTCCAGTCCCGGATAGTTTCCACACCAGACCACAATTCAGCAGTCGACATTCGGAGTTCAGATCCTCATGACTATGTTAATTTCCCAGCCACAACTGATCAAGAAACCAAACCCCTGCCAAAGCTGCACAGACTGTATGTCAGACAAGACCGATTCTACCTGCTCGCCAATCCCTCTGTATTCGGAAGGGCACTTTGCTCCAAATACATGGACAAATCACGAGAGCTGTCGGATCAGCGAGGGCTCAGAATTGCCTCTTATGTCTTCCAGAAGCAGCACTCAAGGCCCACCGTAAACAGGCAGTTCTCCTACCAGCGGCAGACGTCTTGGAGTGGAGGCACTGCCGACCCAGGGAGTGAAATCATTCCATTCGATTTCTCTTCTCCTTCACCCGATGACATCATCCGTGAAAAGCAGGCAGGAGCATTTTGTAGCACCAACGGAAGAAGTGAGGAAATGTTCCCCTATCGAAGTTAATCCCTTTGCGACCTTGCACAATTCTGGTGGAAAGACGGTCAATCTTCCTAGTGTATTCCAAGCTGGCACAAAATTTTCATAATGTGTCATTCATTCAAATAAACATATGCACATGTATGTCTCTTTGTGTCTCCATGTACATTGGTGTTTCTGGGCAGCCCATACTCATTACACTCCTGCCATGAGGAAGGCCAGAAAGGGTAAAGTGACTTGCTCACGGACACATGTCCTGCAGTTGGATTCATCCACTCCTTCCCCCGCCTCCCCCCACAGCATGACCATGAGTCACAAACCTCAACCACCCGGAGCAGCAGGTGGCATTGTGTAATTAGAGGAAATGTAGTGAAGGGGACCCACCTTCAGTGTATTCTGCTCCCTTGTGTATAACTCTTAAGACACTGAAGTGAAGTTTTCATCAAAATGAGCACAAACCTAATGCTGCTATGCATGGGTGCAACATGCACAATGGCAATTGTGTCAAGATTCTGTGATACGGTGTACATGTACATATCGTATCCCCGGTCCTCTTTACAAGAAGTACATTAAAGATTCCAGTGTAAATGCACTCAGTATTGTAATTATTTGTTAAGTACATGTACAACAGTTTTTTGCCCCTCACGGTTAATTCATCATATGGTTGTGGTTATCTTAACCACTGCAACCGCATTTGCCTAACCCACCATATTTCCCAATCAGGTCTAGGTGTTGCAGCACAACTACCTGTAAAGCAGCCCTCTCCCAGCCGACAGAAGCATATGGTGCCAGTTGCCGCCGCCACGGCGATGGCCGCCAACGACACCGCAGTGTCGGCCGTCGCCCAGGAGGTTGCCAAACTCAGCATGCCATCCAAGGAGGCCAAGAGGGGATTTGAACTGGGTCCCGTTCCAGCCAAGAGTGGGGACAAGCGGAGGAAGAGCGCGGCCAGCAGAACCAAGCTGGGGGGAGAATTCCTGGATGGCATGCCTGACAGCAATCTGAGAAGGTAACCTCTTTAAATTCTGATCTGTTTTATGGGGGGTTAAGTTGAAAACATTTAAATCACAACTGTGATGCAATACAGTGAACTAAAATATTTTAAAATTGGTTATCATTTTGTGTATTCATAACTATACTGTATCATGAAAAAGCTTTTAAAATATCATTGGAAACAAGGTTTTGTTTAAACTTGATATTTCTTCTTTACTCCCTCAGTGTAGATTCGCACTTCATTGTGTAGTACTATAGTGACATACCAAGACAAGCTTCATGTCTAGGAGTTGATTCCACCACAATTAGCAAAAATTCAGTCAATCCCTTTATTGTTCTGCAGAGTTCTGCCCTAGGCCAAGGAATGGACCTTTCCCATGAAATGTGCAAATTAGATGGGCGCATGCACGCCACTTCCACTAGTTAGCAAACGTAGCCGTCAACTCTTATGGCAGTGTAGGCGAGCTGCTAGTAACCATAACCTGGAGGGTTGAAGGTCAATCAAAACCATAATACGGCCTTTGCCCGATACTTGAGTACTTTATTCTCGAAACTACAAAGTGAAGTTTCTAGTGTCCTGAGGTTGGAAAGTAACAATTCCTTGTCTTTAAATTTGGCACTCATGTCAAACTACACTAGCACAGAAATAGCGATAGTGACACGCACATGGAGATTTGTGTTGTT